CCTTCCGGGTTGTGTCGGTGAGCCCCCGGCAGCCCCTCGCGGGGCTGGGCCGCGACGGAGCCACCGGCGCCGCCTCAGGGCGTGGAGCAGCTGGCTGGAAGCGCCGACGAGGACGTGTCCTGCTGGGGACACCCCAAACTCGGCCCCTGGCGAGGAGCTGATGGCCGTGTGTGTCCCCTCTCTTGGCAGCTCTTCGTGGTGGAGCGCGCCGGGCGCAGGACCCTGCACCTCATCGGCTTGGCGGGCATGGCCGGCTGCGCGGTGCTCATGACCATCGCCCTGACGCTGCTGGTGAGCGGCGGGGCCGGACGGGGAGGGCTGCTGCAGGACACTGCCCCTTTGCTGCTGTCACTCTTGGGGACGGTTCAGCTGAGGAGGAGGAGGAGGCCCTTCCTCCTCGCGGGGGTGACGGTGTGTTGCTGACTGCTCCCTGCTGCCCACCTCTCTGTCGGGGAGTCCAAAAGCAGCCCGGAACGTGGAGGACGGTGTCTCCTTGTGGCTCCTGCCGGATTGTCGCCTCCAGCCTCCCCTCCCGTTCCGGCGCGGTGCTTCATCCGTCCCTGGCGCAGCCGAGCGGCGCTTACCGGCCTCCTCTCTCTTCTTGGACTAGGACCAAATGCCCTGGATGTCCTACCTCAGCATCGTTGCCATCTTCGGCTTCGTGGCCTTCTTCGAGATCGGTCCGGGCCCCATCCCCTGGTTCATCGTGGCGGAGCTGTTCAGCCAAGGCCCTCGTCCCGCTGCCTTCGCGGTCGCCGGGTTGTCTAACTGGACCTCCAACTTCATCGTGGGCATGGGCTTCCAGTACATCGCGGTAATCCTCCCACGGCGCGGCGGGACGGGGCTGGCACCTCTTCCCTTGCACTAGGGGTGGCTGCTTGGTGCCACGGGGGGAGATTTGGACCCCCAAAACCTGGACTGAGAATAGAGCCTGGGTTTGCTGGGAACCTTCTTTGGGATAAGCCCTTAGGGGAAGAAGGATGGGGCTGAGACACTGGAGAGAAACTAGGTCCTGGCCTGGGCTGGCCTGATGTTCGAGGCAGCAGCAGGGGGCAGGGCACGCACTGGGTCACAACCCCAAGGTCACAAGGCTCTGGTGCCTCATTTTGTCCCTGAAATTGGTTAGCAGACACGGCTGCGCTCCAGCCAACCCAGCAAAGCCCCTGGGTTTTGCCAGCTCCATCCGCACACTCATGGCTCCCCATTCTCTGTCCTTCCAGCAACTCTGCGGCTCCTACGTCTTCATCATCTTCACGGTGCTGCTAGTCCTCTTCTTCATCTTCACCTACTTCAAGGTGCCGGAGACGAAGGGCCGGACCTTCGACGAGATCGCGTCCGGCTTCCGCCAGGGCGGCGCGAGCCAGAGCGACAAGACCCCGGACGAGTTCCACAGCTTGGGCGCCGACTCGCAGGTCTAACGGCGCCGGCTCCTCCGAGCCTCCTACCTTCTCTCCTGAGTGTTTTTAATGCTTGTACAGAAACCAGGAAGGAGGGAGCGGGGGGTCTGGCTCTTGTTCATACCTTCCTTCTCCAGACTCCCCCACCGGCCGCCTGGTTTATCGGTGACAGACTGACACTTTTTTTTTTTTTTTTGGCTAGGAACCATTTTAGCTGGTTTTATGTCCAGGATTTCAAAGCCGATAGGTTCAGAACTAGTGTTTTAAAACCAACCAAGCCGTGTCCTCCAGCTTCCCTTTTTAATGAAGCAATAGATTATTTAACGAGAAATCACATAGTGGAAGTTTTTAAAGCTGGAAACTTTTTTTTAACATTCTAATCATAGAAAAGCACATAATTTGACCTAAGTCTAAAGCAACAAAAAAAAGAAAGCAATTTTTATTTTTAAATTCTAATTTTAAACGAGTTATTTTGAAAGCAGTCTAAGATTTCAACCCCCGCCGTGGATTTGTGGATGGGGATTCCCTGCTCTGCGGGAGCGGGGGCAGCCTCGGGGCAGAGCTGAGGCTGGGAAGGGTCATGGACACGGTTGTGGCGCCGGATCCCGGTGTTCACGGAGGAGCAGGTCGGGAAGGTCAGGGTCAGTTGTGCTGTAGCAGGTCGCGGCCACCGGCTCCCCTTGTCCAGCAGCTCCCCGGCTCCCCTCGCAGCTGGATCCGTCTCCGGCCTCAAACGCTCCCTCGCTTCAGTCCGTGGCCGGCCGTGTGCTCCGGGCGAGCCGAGACGTCGTGCGGGACATGGAGCCCGCGTGCTAGCAATGGGAGCCTCCGGGTTCCATCCCGGCACTATCGCCCTGACTGCGGCCAACGCGGCGGCCGGCAGGAAAAAAGGAAGAGCAGCCCTGGCATTCCCTGGCATTACCCGGCGTTCCCCGGCATGGCGAGGAGCCCAAGCGCCGCGTTTACAGGAGCGTCCGCTGGCCCCGCTGAGAAACCTGCCCATCGTGCTCCCATCACATCCCGGACTCACCGAAATTCATCATTTGGATACCTACATTTCCTGCTCTGTGTATAGACTGGAAGATATTTATATATATATATTTTTGTTCCATGTTGTTAATAGTAGACATTAAGTTATAGTGTTTCTGATTGACAAGCAAAGTACTGTAAATATTCTTGAGGTATATTCACACTGTATAATGTATACAAAAAGGTACAAATACAGAGGTATAGTTTCTATAGCAACTGTAAGAAAGGCTTGTACATGGTTAGGATGACTTTTGTATAGTTCATTACCTGCACTGTAGTTGTATCTATTGCACTGAATTTTAGTCTTTAGTATATTAAAACCAAGAAATACTGTCCTTTTAAAACAAAACTCACACCACACACACAAAAACCAGCATTTCTGCCCTGGGTGCGTCTGTCAGAGGAGCGAGTGGCCCAGTCCACAAGCCACACAAGTTATTTAATCCTGTTTCTTTTGTATTTATACGTCTGGTTTTAAAGGGGCAAAGGGGAGACCATGCTCAAAAGAAAATAAAGCTAGGGAAGAAAAACGGTCACCTGCGAGCGAGTGCCGAGAGCGAGCGCGCCGCGTGCTAGCAATAAAGGGGAGCACGTGCAGCGACCCAGCCGCCCGCGTGGCCTCCGCTTCTTTCGACGGTGATCGTGGTGGGGTCCTCGTGCGCCGCTTCCCGGCAGGGCTCAACCCGCGCGTCCTGCGAGCCCCCAGTGTCCTCAGTGCTTGCGGGAGCTCCGAGTGTCCTCGGGTGCTTGCAGAGCTGAGCAGACCTGAGCGGAGGGTCCTCGTGTCCTTGCTCGTGCGGGAGGAGGTGGCCCTGCGGCCTGGGCGGTGTTGCCCCCTTCGGGCTGCCCCCGGGCTGGCCCAGCTGCCGTGGGGCCCGGCCAACTCCCGTTGTCCCCCCAGCCTATCCGGGCCCCACGTTTAAGCTCCCACTTGGGCCCTGGGCCCTTTCGCCAGCAAGAGCTCCTGCCTAATTCCCAGCCGCTTTGGGACGGGGCCGCCCGGTGTCTGCGCTGGGATCGTCCAAGCAGGGTAGTGCCGGCCCTCTTGGCTGCTCCGTCATGTTTTGGGCTTATTTTTTTAATTCTTCCCCATCAAGGGAGAGCAGCAAGTCAGAACACTTTCAGGCAGAGAAATGCTGATTTTGGTCGTTTCAGGTGCTTTCTTGCTGGCAGCGGCGGCACGCTCAAACGGGGCTCGTAAAGCCCGCGGCGGCTCCCGAAGACGCTGCGAGCGCCGGCTCCGCGGCTCTGCAGGGACTTGCCCGGGAGCCCCGGCGCGGACTTGTCCGTTGC